ATTTAAAACTTAATAAATAACTAGAAAAAATGAAAAAGTAAGAAAAATGACATTTTTCTATTGGTTTAAACATAAATACAGAAATAAAAATTTAAGAAAATAAGTTTAGATTGATGGACTGGTTGTGAAGACTGAAAGCCTCAACAAAGATTACGGAATACGTGGTCAAAAATATGATATAAAACATATTTCCAGTTCCCCTCCAAGCAAAGATTCACGTGGTTTGTGTGTTTTGAAGACTGGTTGTGAAGACTGAAAGCCTCAACAAAGATTACGGAATACGTGGTCAAAAATATTTTATGTGTTTTTTGTTTGTTTATGTGACAATCAAGGATGCTAAGTTCCATAAAAAAAAATCTAGCTAGTTTATTATTTATTTTGGTATTTATCATAATTAGTTAGATTTATTTTAATGATTTTTAATAGTTTAAAATTTATTTGGTTTTCATATAGATATAGGTTTATTATGCCTAGAATTATAGACAGATTTTTTATATTGAATAAATTTTTAAGTTTTCATAGCTAAACGAATTTTTATAGCACATGAAAGTATTTATAAACCAAGAACTGTTAAAATATTGAGAATAGTATTTTCAAACCTTAGTTTATTAGTACTTTTATAATCAACAGATCTTAGTTCTATCTCTATTAGCTTCCATTACATTATATATCTATATAAAAAATCTTTAAAATTTTTGGGGGCCAAGGCTGTTGCTCATTAGCATATGCCCAGATTCGACATAATGTTATACTTACATTGTTCATACATATTAACTACTTATTCTTTATTCTTCTTTTTTGAAACCTAACCTCTTCATTCTTCATTAATCATTACTCGTAATTTAAATACGTTAATGGTGAACATATAAATACTTGAACAAAATAAGAAAGAAAAAGAACTAGCATGAGCGTTCTTGAGCAAAGAAATCATACATGAGAGTTCAAAAGAACAAACGAAAAGCGAGTCCTTTCTCAAAAAAAAAAACAAATGAAAAGCAATAGTTTGGTATATTCATATGTAGTGTCCGCCGAGAATATGGGCGTTGTGGTGACTGGTTGAGACAGCAGACCTTTTTGACCACCGGATGGTGCAGGTCCCGTACGTATTGCGATACGGTGTGGTAGTTAGTGGCGGTGGTGGTGTCCAATGCAGCCACGTCACGCGATCATTCCTCTTCTTCATTTTTTGGGGTTGAAAATTAGACACACGAGGTTATGATATTTGGATGACAGAGCATGATCTGCTGCCTGCTGGCCTGGCTTTGGTATTGTTATTATTATTTTAATTTGACTTTAGTATTTAGATTTTATTAAATCATATCGTATTTTGGTTAATGCTGATTTCTCTTTCTCCGCACTTTCGGTTTGAACTGTATATCTTTCTGTCAATCTGGTAGTCTATGAGTAGTTACATATTTAATACTATTCTTTAAAGTCATCACTAGATTTTGACCCGCGCTTTTAAAGCGCGGGATTATATTTTTAATCAAAAGATATATTCACTAATATCAAAATTTGTATATAGTTTATATATTTTTATTTTCCAATATGTATATATTTCATTATCAACATATACAATTTTATAATTATGCAAATATGAGCAATATGTAAGTTTTTATGTGGATAAAATTTTTGTTTCAAAAGAATAAAAAATTTGAATGAAAATTTGTTTCCAAATTTTGAGATGATAGTTTCATAAAACTGACCTGGACCCATAATTTTTTATCCAAAAAATTTTCAATAAAAATATGGTCGTTACATTTATAAAGATTAGTTTTTACATGAGACATATAATTTTAGCCCTTGGATATATACTAAATACCGTAGATTTAAGTTGGAAAATCTGAAGAAAAAAAACTAAATGTATACTAATACATATGAGACTAATCATAGTATAAGTCATGTCTTTTTCTGAAGGGTGAAGATTAGAAATGCATGACTTTATATATGGCTGAGATTTTTTTTTTGTCAACTATATGGCTGAGATTACACGAAGGTTATAATGCGTTAAATGTAAATTCTGAATATTAGTATATATAAAATTTAATTTAAATATATTATAATCCATAAAATACATTGTCATAAACGAAAATTTGGTATTTAAGACAATTGTTTAACAACCAAAAGCTACCATATCTTTAGTGAAAATCTATATAATTGGTACTAAAATATACTATAATTATTGCTTTTTACTTAATTTAAAAAGTAAAGATTTCATTAATTCGTAGTTGCTATTTATATGGAATGTAATCTTAACAAAATATTAAAAGATTCTGTTTAAGATAATATTAATTTCTCTGAATAAATTGGTTAATATATGGAAACGTTGGTAATGTTAAGGTATTCTAGATATTTTTGTCTATTGAAATATATTGAAAGTAAGATCATGGAGGGGTATTTTCAAGTTCATGATTTTTAAAATGTTTATATAAATGAAAATATATTTATTAAGGTTTTTATGGATATTTTGATAGATATTAGTTAGTATATGGAGATATATTCTCTAAATTGTTTGATATTTCTAAAATTTAATATTTTTTGTCAAAGAATAATAATTTTTTTATAATATCAAAACAAACTCCGCTCCTCTTCCGTTTTTATTGATTTGGTAATATATAGTGATGAATTTTTTATATAAGTAAATATATATGTATAACAAATTATAAATCGAAAACTCAACATTTTAAAAAATCCAAAACTAATATTAATACACTAAATCTAAATCTCTACTTCTATTATCTTATAATGACCAAGTTGTCTTACATCTTCAAGCCTTCTAGTCCAAATATGCTTTTTGAACTTTCGTCCAAATATGCTTTATTGTTCTTATCTCTACTTATAATGATGTGAAAAAAACCCGAGGAAATTAATCATTACTACAGCTAAAGAACCTATAAATACCAGTTACAAAAAACAAAGAACCTATAAATACATAATGAAAAAAATGCTTTTTGTTCAGCACAAGTTGTTGTATGCAAAGGAATACTACTTCCGTCAGGAGTAAATAAAACCTTCTCGTTCTCACCAGATTTAATTTGTGTTGCCAACCTACTCAAAAGTTTGAACCCTAACAAAAACCATATAAAATCAACGCATGGATTACATAGAGTGTGTAGATTTGTACCTTGAGAGATATATCATAGAAGTTGGACCATGGCATGCTTATTCACCTGAGAGATATAACACTGAGTTAGGGGGGACATTGGCCGTATTCATGTGAACATTCACCATTTCTCTAAACCTATATTTGTTTCTTTGTAAAAATAGTGATTCACTATATTGACCTCAAAATATAAAGTGTGAAAATTGAAATTCTAGACTGCAAAAAACGTCTAGAGGTTAATAAAATCTCAAGGTAGACTTAATAAAAGAAAGCTTTAAATGAAAAAGAAAAAAAATTAATGCTGATAATTTTAAGAAATACGAAAATATAGTTTTGGATTAAAATAATTAATATTGTTAGGCATTAATAGCAATGGCATGCCATTGTAATTAACTTTAAAAATCAAGGGCAGAATCCTAATAGGGATTCTGCTTTAATAGTATAGATCATTCATAACATTTGCTGTCAGGTTTCGAGCTTTTCTACATCTTCACTCATGATATATGGATATACGGAGTTAGGTTCAAAAACGTTGTATGCTAGTTTTATGGATTATCTAGATCCCAGAAAAAAAGATCCAATGCTTCACAGTTGAAAGCAACACACACATAATTAGAACTTTTCGGTCATTATATTTCAAAAAGCAAATGCTTAAATAAGTGCTGACTGAAATTTTCAAATATTATTTGTTACTGGAAATTGGATTTATAAAAATTATAAAATAGTCTAGTTTTTCACTTTCTAACTGTTTGTAGATTCATTTAATATCTGTGTGATTAATATTTTAACTTTAGACAATCATATCTTTAGAAGTGATATTTTTGCTCATGAAGTCATGGTGTTGCTACTTGCTACCGTACGTTAGCTCAGTAGTACAACGTTTTCAGTTTACTATGCTTGTCTATATATAGTAGCATTTCACGTCAAATCTAGAAACGATATATTCTTCTCCATAGGTCTTAGAAGATCAAAATACTATATACGAAAGACAGTAAATCAATAAGCATATTGGTGTCGAATTGGAGTCCACCTAATCCAATGATACCCGGTTTGCGCGGGTAAAAGACTGTCGTTGATTCCATTAGCAAGAATCTACTAAAGACACTTGATTCCACAAGTACTCTGATTTGAAACCGATCGAATGCACCACAAAGACTATAGAAATATCGCTGATACAGGTAGACATTCAGGCTTGTGTGTCCACACAATGAAAATAACAGGAGTTTCTGGACAACCATACGACTAAAGTCTTAGAAAAATTCTTAGAAAGTCTTAGAAAAATTCTTAGAAAGTCTTAGAAAAATTAAAGAAAAAAAAAGAAAAGAGGTTCTTCAAATAGAAACCTAGTTTAAGACACATCAACAACAAAACAAAAGACTCAAACATCATAAGATTTATCAAAACATAACATTACAAAGCGTTATTTTTTCTTATGTAATGTTTATTTTTCTTAAAAACAAATAAATTCCAAACTATCAATATTCAGAAAACATTATAGAACAGAAACTAAAGAAGTCTTCTCTTTTTTTTTTTTTGGTTAAACAAATCATGGATTTAGAATGCATTAATTATACATGTTAGAAAACAGCCTTTCAATTTTACAAATCCAGAAAAATCATTATGAAAATCCATAAATTCTGTTGAGTTAGAGACACATGCATGCATGACAGCATAACCCCACCCACACGTAACTACGTGGGAAGCTCACTTCACCTGAAACGAAACAAAGCCTTCCAGTTCCACAAATTCCATCCCCCATCATTTATTGTCTTTTCTATTTATTTCTCTATAAATACAATTCCACTTAGCACGGAATGTATAACTCTGTCCTCCTGTAACTCATTAGCACATTTCAATACACACACACTATAGTACTAAACAACTTCGTATTAGTTGCATGGAAAACAATCATGTTAGTCATCGAGAACAACTCTGCTCCGTTCACCAAGTATCTTACAGAGGCGTTCGCCGGAGGAAATGGGGCAAATGGGTGTCAGAGATCAGAGAGCCCGGTAAGAAAACCCGGATTTGGCTCGGGAGCTACGAAACAGCAGAGATGGCTGCTGCGGCCTACGATACTGCGGCTCTTCACCTCCGAGGATGTGGGACACATCTCAACTTCCCGGAACACGCTGGCAGTTTTCCTAGGCCGGAAAGCTCTAGTTCCGAGCACGTTCAAGCGGCTGCTCGAGAGGCAGCACTAATGTTTAAATCGGATGTGTCGTCTACAGAATATGATAACGGGTCAGGTCAGGTACTTCCGCGGGTAGGATTGTCTCCGGATCAGATTCAGGCTATCTATGAGTTTCCACTGGACTCACCGAGTATGGGGTGGATGCAAGATCTCGAAGTGAATCATTTCGAAGAGTTGTACGGTCGGTATTTTGGTCAGTGCGATAGAGATGATTATTTTGAAACGCAGCAGCTTCAGTCCATATGCGACTTTAACTGACATTAATCTACCTAAACATTCGATTTATGTATGGTGTTACCAACCATTTGATTTACGGTTTCTTCGATTTTACAGGATAATTATTCAGTGAAGTATAACAAACTTTGAACCCGAAAATTTTTAGTGGGTTTATTTTGAAAAGTTCTAACAGTGACGCGATCATATTTCAAATGTAACTGAATCAAATTTCAATTATATTTCTAGGCTAACGGTCTGCAAGAAGAGAATATCATGTTTTTAGTAGGGATGCGAATTTTATCCCTTATTTTTAATTCGATTCATTATTAATTTTGATTTGATCTGAAAATCCGGATATCCATAAAAATTCTAAGAAAAAAGTATATTAAAAAGTCAGTATCCGTTAAAAAGAATAAAATTACAAATTCTACAAATTTTAAACTCTGATATCTAGTCCATTCTGATTTTTATACAAATAAATGTATATATACAATTAGATATAAAAATTTAAATATATAATTTTATGTAGTTATTATTTTAAATATATTTTATTAATTTTATTAATAAATTAGTTATAAAAGTATTAATCATAAATGAATGTAAATCTTTATAAAACTTCAATTTTCTAAAAAAAATTGTTTTACAAAAAATTAATTAGTTATTAAAATTTATGGAACATATAGTTTCACACTTTCACTGATCTTTATTTTTCTATTTCATATTATGTAAACGATGATTTTTTTAAAACAAACTTGCATAGTATTTTCTCTATTTACATGTATTGAACAAAGTTGAAGATATATCCCATAAATATTTGCATATATATATATATATATATATATATATATATATATATCTTAAAATTTTCTAAATATTCGTAAAATCAGATATCCATATTTTTTAGAATCAAAGCAACTCAGAAAACTAATCACAAATCAAATCATAAATACTGAACATTATGGTACTATTTAATTCGTGCCATCCCGAATGTTTAATTTTTCATGTTCACATTAGTTAATCAGGAACTTGATTCATATCTACATTACTTTTTTGGGTAGGGGAGTGGCAAATTCCCTTCCGGATGGATCATGCAGGAGCTGTGTGAAATTGCCTTCGTGAAGCCTCAAGCAGGGACGGATCTAGTTGTAGTTTAGGGGGGAGGGGGGGGGGGTCAGGTTACTCAGGTGCCTCCAGTTAAATTTCAGAATCCTTTATTAATTACTAAAAAACATATTAAATGCACCAGCTTGTGTTTCAAAAGAAAAAAATGCACCAGCTTAAATTTGTATAATGAACCCACAATTTCTTTCGCTCTCCCAAAATGAACCCGTAATTTTTAATAAACCATAATCCAAACGAGAATTTTAGAAAATGTCAGACATCCATTTGGCCCATTGTTTAATTGATTAGTCAAGTATAGAAATGCTAGACCCAATATAAACCATAAACCAAACGAAGTACTAATCAACTGAAAATATAAACTACTAAAGAACATTTAGCTTTATAAACTAGATAATGTAAATTTGAATAGTTAAAACACAATTACGTCAATATTAAACATTTTATTGTTCTTACCTGAATATTAAATATTAAACATTTTATTGTTCTTACCTGAATATTAAAAATAAGCTGAATTTTATTTATTTTAGATATTTGCTTTAATGTTGCTTTTAAATTTCAATCTTTTATTAGTAAATGTAAAATTAGTAAAATATAATTAATCTATAAATATTGTTTTATTTATTTTAGTGTTATATTATGACCGGTAGCTTTCCTGGGCAGAAGCATTACAAGTATCTGCTTCGGCCGTTAAAATAAAATAAAGTTTTTGGCCATTTTATACAAAAGTTATTATATCTTAGATGGTTAAGTAGTAGTTGTTTTTTCTATAGATATTAAGTTTAAATCTCACCTGGCGGTCTGATTATGACCCCGGTATAATATGTTTATAGTAAAAAAAGAGTTTTAGGTAAGTGACGGTTAAAAAAAACTCGTGATTTTAAAATTACCAGAACAGAAGACTTTTTATTCACAGTTGTGTTCCCAAAAATAAAATAAAATTCACAGTGATCGTGTAATTTGTGCATTGGTAAAATAGTACACTCCGTGTGGGGCAGGGTATACGATTCCAGTATGCCGCCCGAATCTCCTCGAGGCCCTTCCTTCCACTACATTGACACTTCCGCCTTTAAAGACTTTCTTATCCTTAATCTTATCTTGAGAAGTTTTATAAAAGCACTCAAGCTTTTTTGTAAACTTTCGTTTTATTATTTGATCAACTTTTCTAATCTTTCTTAAGATAGCGAAGATGTTAAGTTCTTATACTTCTAACTAGGTGTTTTCTTGCATTATATGCAGAAATAAAAAATTTAAAAATAAAAGTATATTTAAAATAAAATTTAGTTAATTTTTAATTTTTTTATTTTGTTACATTATTAATTTTACCTTAATTATATGTAAACATTAAAATAAAAATAAACAACTTTATTTAAGTTCATATTTAATAATATATGTATAAATATTTAAAATTCAAATTTGAAAAGAATTTTTTATCTTTTTCTTTTGGTTAAAATATGTTAGATAAGATACTATACAATTAAGAGAAAATTTTGTTAGGTATATACTCCCTCTGTTTCATTAAAAATGTCACTCTACAGCTGTGCACACGGATTAAGAAAACAATTAATTTTACATATTTCCTATATAAGAACACAGTTACCCATACACCTAACCATATTTTATCCAATAGAAAAACAAATTACATAATAAAATTAATAAATTTTGCATTGAAAACCGAAAACGACACTTATTTTGTAACGTAAAAAATTCTCTACAACGACACTTAATATGAAACGGAGGGAGTAATTCTCAAAAGATATAATTAAATAATTTTTTAAAATTTATAGATTTTATAAATAAAACTAACATTGGATTAGAAAATTATAATTTAAAAAAAAACCCACATAAAATTTTGAAGAAAATTATTAATAAAATTATATAATTATAAAAAATTGACTTAAAAAATATTTCAAATTTGTAAATATTGTTATATGTCTATTTCTACTAATATATTACTTATTGTAATGTTAATACTAATTTATGAGTTATTACCATATTCAAAAAACTTACCAAAATATATATATTTACATTTGAGAAAATTTTGTTAGGTATATAATTATCAAAAGATATATTTCTAAAATTTATAGATGTTATAAATAAAACTAACGGTATTGGAATTAGAAATTTCTTTTTTTTTTAAAAAAAAAACCACATAAAATTTTGAAGAAATTTATTAAGAAAATTATATAATTATAAAAAATTGACTTGAAAAATATTTCAAAATTTGTAAATATTGTTATATGTCGATTTCTACTATTATATTACTTATTGTAATGTTAATACTAATTTCTGTGTTATTACCATATTCAAGAAACTTACCAAAAAAATATATATATATACATATTTACATTTGAGAAAATTTTGTTAGGTATATAATTATCAAAAGATATATTTCTAAAATTTATAGATGTTATAAATAAAACTAACGGTATTGGAATTAGAAAATTATATATTTTAAAAAAAAAACCCACATAAAATTTTGAAGAAATTTATTAATAAAATTATATAATTATAAAAAATTGACTTGAAAAATACTTCAAATTTTTTAAATATTGTTATATTTCTATTTCTTCTATTATATTATTTATTATTATGTTAATTATAATTTATGAGTTATTATCATATTCAAAAAACTTACCAAAAATATATATTAATATTAAATGTAAATGTCAAAATTAATTATAAGCCATGTCATCATTATTAGTGGATATGTCATCATTTTTTGGTGAAATTAATTGTGGTAATGACACATGTCAAAATCACTTCAAAAATAATATATAAGAGATAACTCTCTAGAACTCGACCCGCATTTTTTTTACTGTTTTTTGTACGTTAATATTTAATTTTATATAAATAGTGGTACATATTTTAAATATTCACACATATTAAATAATTGTTTAATATATTATTTTAACATAATAGTTTTATAGTTTACATTGAATAGTTTTTTTTAACTGTCAAATATACCATCCATATTTTTATCATATATTTATGGTTTGAATTTTTATTGAGTTATTATTTATATGAAAATATGCGTAAAATAATATATTGAAAAATTAATTTATATTTTACAGATTAAATGAATTTAATTTCATATTTATGAAAATAAAGTAGGTTAATCCATTAATTTAGTAAATTTGAGGGAACAATTGACAAATGCCTTATTATAGTTATATATGGTTTTCACGAATTTTATTTTAATTAATTATATATATTTATAAATAATGAATTTTAATTTTAAAATTATTAGAAGGTGAGAAATGAAACATGCAATTGATAATAAAGACATAATCTATCGGCGAACCCCAATTATTTATGTTCACAGGATTACTTTGCATTCCGAGGTGGTGAGTTCCGAGTCTACAGATAATGATTAAAGACCTCATCACTTTGTGGTTAGATATGCATAATAGTTAGAACGAGCTGATTAGTATATAGGATAAAACCAATAGTTAGATCGTGATTACTTTATCTCTGTTATATTCTTTTGTGATTTGTTCTTTGTATTCATTATATTCATTGTCATTAATATCATTTTATTTCGTGTAAACAATTTTAAAATCTACTTTATAGAGTTTTTTTCCCTAAACTTTCTTTTATTCACATTGATATCTGATTAAAAGAATTTTTTTTTTGACATCGACTTAACAATAGATTCATGTTGACTCTGCGAGTCAAACCGATAGCTCTGCATCCACGTGAACAACAAAAGACGATTGTTTCCTGGCACTGCGTGCTAGATTATCCGCCCGTAAATTTTGCGTTCTTGGTACGTAGATGATCTCCGAGCTGTGAAAGTTTTCCTTGAGTATCTTAATATCATCCAAATAATTTGCAAAAGCTAGTCCTTCTTCTGGTTCCGAAACCATATTCACCAATTGAGAACAATTTGTTTCAAAAGTAACATGATACTGGCACAAATTCTTTATACATTCTATTGCTCAAATAAGTGCTTCCACCTCAGAATGAAGAG